AATAGATTAAGGCTTAGAAGTAAATGGTTTCATGACAATAATTGGGGAACTGAGAGTTTAACCTATTTTAGTTATATTATTGTCCATTTATTTTAATTAATTATTTTATTACAACAAGTCTCACTTTATTTTTTAGTTTTTCTTAAGATTAATATATAGGTAAATATATAAATTATTTTTAAATCTTTAATTCGAAAAAAAATAAAAAAAAATCGTTTTAGGGGAGTATTGTTATGAAAGAATTTTAAATTAAAAATCTATTTTTCTAAGATTGAGGGAGTAAAAAATGGACACTAATTGAAATACATTTTACTTTAAAACATTATATAATATAATTATTAAAAAATTATCTCCCCCCTTCCTCACCAACTTCCTTACTTCTTCCTCCTCATCCTCGTTTAAACTAAATTTATTCTGGTTGACTCTTTTAGCCTTCCAGGATGCTAACTCCCTCACCTCGGCATCCCTCCTCTCCCACTCTGTATCATTTACAAAAAAAAATTTCTCCTTCCATCCTTTAATGGATGAAGGACCCGCTGTAAACAATGCCCTACTCTCCTTCTTAGCTACCCTAGGGGTGAAATAATACCACCCCTTATCCCTCCTACTTCCCCCCTTTAAAACAAAAAAGTATTTAAACATATTTACAGTTGTCATGTTCTTCGCCTCAAACAGGCTGCTCTAAGGCACCACCGGGGGAACAGGGCCTTTTCCCTTACCAGGAGCCCGTACCTCAGCCCCCCTCCTCCAACCGTTTGAGCTCAGGGTTCAGCTCAACAGGAGGAGGCTGAGGTACGAACTCAGGAACCTCATTCCCCCTCTCCTCCTCCACCACCTTCTGCTTCTTCTGCAGTGCCCTCCTCTCTTCCCAACCTTTCCTCTTTAGCGGTGGCACCTCCTCCTCCGTCTCAGCTGAAGCCAAGGGCACTACCTCCTTCCCAACCCTCCCCTCATCCACTTGCTTGGTTGAAGTCCTTGACTTCTTCCTTGGCTTCTTGGGAATGGCTGCTCCTCCAGCAGTGTTCAGAAACTGATCCATTTCAGCTGCATGGTAAAAACACACAATATCAATCACACAATTCTATGTTCTACATTCAACGCTACAGTGCATGTTAAACAAACCTTCACTCAGAGCACTTGGCCCATAGAGCTCAGCAGCTTCTATGCATGCTGCGCTGGTGAGGTCCATGATATTTAACAAATCTCCCCCCTTCCTCACCAACTTCCTTACTTCTTCCTCCTCATCCTCGTTTAAACTAAATTTATTCTGGTTGGCTCTTTTAGCCTTCCAGGATGCTAACTCCCTCACCTCGGCATCCCTCCTCTCCCACTCCGTATCATCTATAAAAAAGAATTTCTCCTTCCATCCTTTAATGGATGAAGAACCCGCTGTAAACAATGCCCTACTCTCTTTCCTAGCTACCCTAGGGGTGAAATAATACCACCCCTTATCCCTCCTACTTTCCCCCTTTAAAACAAAAAAGTATTTAAACATATTTACAGTTGGCACACTAATCTCCTGAGCTCGGCAATAAATTAAAAACCCTATTACTACCCTCATAGAGTTGGAGACCAACTGTGTCAACCCTATACCATACTCCAGCAATAAACCTACTAACAAATCAGGAATTAGAAACTTAAGCCCAGCATACAAATAATGGGAGTATATGGGCATCCAATGATCCCGAGGAGCAGAGCACGCCCTCTCCTCTACCCCAGCTGGCCTCACTAACACTCGGGAAGCGATGTCGTAATTCTCCACTAAATGACCCAAACTATCCCTACTCCTAAGTTTAGATCTATACTGCTTCACCTCCTCTACCACTTCTGCATTCACATCATAATCTCTCTCCTCTACCCTCTACCCTCTACTTCTACTACGGTGATGGGTATGCTATCTCCCTCAACCCCTACCACCTCGTTCCCCCCAACCTCCACCACCTCATCCCCTCTCACCCCCTCCACCATCTTCTCCGACCTAGATGGAGATGGACTACTCTTTGAGTCCATGCTCCCATAGTCTAAAGGCATCACCTCACTCCCAACCACACTTTCTGTTCCTTCCGAGGACATTTTCTCAAACTCTGCACGAAGTAGGGGGGAGGAATGAAGTCACGACCCATTTAAAAAAAAAAACCCCTCTGTTGCACATTCAAAATCCTTCTCATCCCTAACCCTAACTTCCTTCAGAGAACTCTAAATCAATCACAGAAAGGGAGAAAGGAGAGAGACACTTCGATTAACTCAAAATCAGAGTTTCGTCTACATTACCTAATTTCGGTTTCGAAAGACTTGATGTAGAATTCCCCAGTTGATGCTGCAGTTCATGCACAGGAAGCGCACAGTAAAGCTTCTCGCAGAAGTTTTGTAGGAAAAGAAATGCAAGTAAACTTCTTTCTGCAGAAAAAATGCCTATTTATACTTCTGGGCAAAATTAGATCTCAACGGCTGAGATTCGTTTAATCTTACGGTTCCTGTTGACACCGTTTGGAATTCGACGGACAACCCCAAACGGTACCGTTTTGAACTTGACGGTTCGTTTTTAAATTTGCCCGTTTAACTGTTACAGTTATCTGTTTACGGCCGCATTTATTGCGCACGTCATTCCAAGGACAACTGTCACACCACGTGCTACCCCTTTGTCAGATTTTTCAGACGAACCCACTCACGTCCATTTCAACACCTTCGTTTACTTTTCTCAATTTTGCAAGTGTTTCACTTCGGCTCTGGCCACAATAATGCTGCACTACATTTCACATCGGCTTCGGCCATTATGACTCCGGTCATTATATTTTATTATGATTTCAGCTATTCTGACTCCCGTCTTTATACTTAAGCCTAGCTCAACACTTCTGTTTACTTATACAATTACACTTTTTAACTGGCATAGTGTTTTACTTCGGCTTCGGCCACAGAGACATGCTTTACTTCGATTTTGGTTACTGTGACTACATGTCACATACTCTACCTCGGCTCCGGCCATTATGACTCCGGTCATCATATTTTATTACGGCCCTGGCCTCTATGACTCCAGTCATCATTTTTTATCATGACCTTGGTTACACTATGACTTCGATGATCACTTTTTCCTGTGGTTACGGCCACCATGACTCCGATCATCATCTTTTACTATGACTACGACCACGTTAACTCCGGTCATTATTTTTACTATGGCCATGGCCATGATCGCTTCGGTCATATTCTATTTAAGGCACCCCAGTATGACCCACTGTTACATATTTCATTATTAGCTACGGCTATGATTACATTTAGGTTACAGATTTCTTCCTTATACTTCCATGACTTATCCGGATTCTCTTTGTTCATACACTCCCCCCATTATACCCAACAACATCATTCACAAGTGAATGACTTCAGGGGGGGAATAGTGTAAGGACAGATCCGAGGTGCCAAGCCTTGGACTGCTACAGTAATTCTTTTATGACCGAAGTGAGAAATAAATCCAAAACTTCCCGCTCAAACAACTGCATGACAATGAAAATAAGGATGCCCGCACCTGATTCCTTATGATGAGTGGCACAGCAAGTATGGTGGACGCTTGTGCATCTAAATACCTCTCAAATTCCCGGTCCCGGAATAATCGTCTGGATGGACACGTCAGGCTTTGATTATCTTGCTTGGCATGACACGTGGGTTCCTCATTGGATCCTATAAATACCCCCCGGGCCACGTCAAAAAGGTAATTGAAACCAACCCTAAGCTCTTTTTATCTCCGCCTTAAAGGTAGCCCTGATTATTGCTAACTTAAGCATCGGAGTGTCTACCCCGAGTTCCACCTCGAGGCTTTGCAGGTCATCCCGGAGTGCAAGCGCAGACTGAAAAAGGACTTCTTGTTTGGTGCAATTACATTATCTTTTTATGAAATTAAAAATGAATAAATTTAAAAATTCATGCATGTATATAGAATATAAGAATTAGTTAAATCAAACTAGTGTATTTGATCATACTGGTGTTAGAGTTGCGTTTGATTTGGGTATTTCTTATACTCCTTTAATAATATATTTTTGAGTTGGTTTTTGTTGAAAAAAATAGTTAAATCAAACTGTATTTATATTATATTTTAATAATTAAATTAAAAATTATTAAAAGATATATTAAACTAAGTATGTATTAATAATTTTTCTAAAAAAATATAGGTGTACCTAATTTTATAGGAGTAAAAAAAAAATCAAATAGAGGCGCTGTAAAAGACATGCGAATCCTAAATGAATCATTTTAGGAGTTAATTATAATACTAGTTGAGTTAGTGTTCGATATTTGAGTTTTAATGAGATTTAGTTATTTAATCTTGATAGATTTTTTTTTTTTAAATACCTCAATGTTTCTTAAATTTTGTAGGATTTAATTTAAAGAATAACAAGTTCATTTTCTAATCAGTTTCCTACATAAGGGAAAGTTGGGCGAAACATCTGAGAAGACGCGTTAGAAGGAGAGAAAAAGCGTTTTAAAGAGAGAAAAATATTTAATAGCACTTTGATGTCTCGCCTCAAAATTAATACCCTTTAGCTAAGCGGTTGTTGTAGCGTAGCGTTAGGTGTCGAATCCACAGGGAAGCTATATTAAATCAACAAAAAGAGTTGTCA